GCCATCCGTTTGAGGTATCGATGTATGAGTGATGGAGTGCAGGGGCGCCCAGAGCTGACGCTGCTTGAAGAAAAGTTTTTGTGTATGCGCTTTCTAGAAAGAGCAAGTCGCCTGTTGTCTTTTTTTTTTTTTATGTCATTTTTTTGTTTTAATTGTTTTTTGACCGGCCCTCGCTGTCTTTCTCTTCTTCAACTCAGACGTTCGAGCAAGTATTCGGACGTGTGGTGTGTGTATAGCTGGCTGTTTCAATCTCGACGAACTCTGAATGGGCAGCTACAGTGGGTTCCACGTCACCATACTCTGGCATACTAAACTCCTATCTAAACAACTGACTAATTTTTTTTGGTGGATAGCTTGCGAGTATGGTACGTGCTCAGGAGCTCCGGAACTGGGGTTGAGTGGGGGCAGTCACCCCCACAGGTTCTAAACCAGTGGGGGCATCTCCCACACTCAAAGCTGTTCCGACCTGCAGGGTCCAGTAAGCTGGTACCAGTGTTCAACCCCGTCACGAATCCGGTGCCGACAGTTGAACATTGGAAACAGAAAGTTGACGAACTATCGGCGATATACTCATCAACCAAGATACAGACTGCGAGTTTTGCGCTAATGAAGCTAGAAGGAATTGCCAAAACGTGGTACGATGGCCTCGTCGGTGTCCAGCGTTTGTGGCTTGAATGGAAGCTGGAGCTGAAAAAGGCTTTTCCACCAGACGTAAACCTACACTGCCGATATCAGGAACTGGAAGCGAGGCGAAAGCTGCCGAACGAAACCGCCGCAGTATTTCCATGAGAAACTCAGCCTGGCACGTCTTTGTCAACTTCCGTAAGCTCAGATTGTGGACTATGTCATTACAGGCATCAGTGATAAAGCACTCGTTCGGAGCCTGAGCGTTGCCCAGTTTTCTACTCCAGAGGATCTGCTGGAGTGCCTCAAACATTTGGACGATTAACTCACCGCCGTCGGGGAAGCGTCCCACCGATTCAATGTTGCAATCGGTTCAAGGGCAGGAAAGAATGGTTCGCCCAGCGACCGAAATGCCCACAGACTCTTGAAACGAAAACCACCATTCAACTCTAATGGCGAACCACAGTGTTTCAACTGTGACGAATACGGACATGTGTACAGCTGACTGCAGATCAAGCAGCAGAGGAAGTGTGTCCATAAAAAATCGTCACATCGAAAATAAAGAACAAGTAAATGCACAAAACGAAAAGTATTTTCAAAACGCTCTCTTAGATTGCTGCCTTACGTGTTTACTTTTTGTTTTCTTTAATAAAACCATTAGTTGCGAGTCAGCGCCATTCCTGTCGTGTTTGTTCCTTCCCTCTAGTCTGTCGTTCTGCGCTGTTTTACCTACTGTGCATGCTGTCTGACTTCACATGCGAGTACTGTATTCTGGTACTGTTTCCAAGTGCCTGTCTAACCATATAATTTTCATAGAATGGTGTTTGCATTAAAAATTCAAGATCACAAAACGAAATTAAGCACATATTTGTTTTGTAGTCGTCATTTTTGCAGCTTGGCTTCTGGTGACGTAATTTATTTTAATGAAGGTGCCGCCATGTTAACTCACCTTTACTTTTTAATGACTGGGAGCTGTGGACTTTAATTTCAAGAACCGCTTAGTACTGATTCGCACTTAGTGGAACCAGTAACCGAACCACTATTTCAAAAGCGTCCTGAAACCAGAACCAAACTGGAACAAAATGCAAAGTAACCCGAATCCGAACCAAACTGGAATAATGACCGGTTCGACTCCCTGCTTTTAACCCAGCCGATCTTCTAGTTTTTGTGTGGAACACAAAAAAAAAGGCTCGAGGTACACCTAAGCACTTCTTACGAGTTGTGAATGCGAAAGCATGCATGCCACTCATCGCTCCCTTCTTTCGTCTGCAGCGTACGGCACGCTGACCTGGGCGTGGAACGGTGGAGCCACTGCCTCGCAGACACGCCGCGCCATTGGGTGAGCGATTGTTCAAAATTGACGTGCAGCGGCCAGTGGGAGCCTTGTCGACGCGCACCAGCCAATGGGACCGAAACCGAAAATTCATCAGCTTTACTTCGCTCCTTTGGGATCGAGGGAATTTACGTGTCGTGTCTAGGCTTTTCCAGGGTTTCATAGCTGGGAGCTGACTATACTTGGAAAAAGGATTTAAGGTGCCGTTTTCGTGCTTCAAACTGATGACGTCGGCTCGCTCCATGAGACACTTAATGCTTTTGCATTAAAAATGATCTGAATGTATAGTAAACGTAAAAGTTTATGTTTTAAGGCAGGTTTTATAATAAGGTGGTACAGTCTTTTGTGCTGGTGCCGTATACCGGTTGCACTTTTTTTCTGTTCTCGCCGCAGTGCATGGAGATTTGGGGTAGGTATACACAGCATCACTTCTAACAACACACTATCGGTGCTGTTGTGAAGTATTTGAAGCAGAGAGCAAGATTGCTTCTTGCACAATGCACAAACTAGACATTTTTAATGCCTTATCAAACAAACAACACACTAACCATGTATATGTGGAGGGTATACACGGTTTGTTTGCGAAGAAAATGGGTTGTTTTATATTTTGGCGTCTGTTGGTACTCGAAAGCCTTTTACGCTTGATTGCGCGAATGATGTCTGCAGTGACAAAAGGTTATGGGTTTTAGTTGAGCTAGTTGGTACATAATGTTGGCAATCGGGTCAGCTGAACACGAAAAAACGAGCACAGAGAGAAAAGGACTGGACAAACACACCGCTGACAAACAACTGACATTCACTTCATCCTCTTCCCAGCCTTGGCTCTTTCTCTTTCCTCCTACAACCATACCTCGGCAAACCTCACTCATGAGGGCCCTCACTCACCCTCATCTTCACGGGTGAGGTGAGGGTGAGTGAGTTTCTGAATCAGGAAAATTCACGAGCGTAGGGGTGAGTGAGGGCCGTGAGGGTGGTGAGTGCGTGAGGGGTGTGAGGGTCATGAGGGCGTGAGGAGTGTGAGGGCCGTGAGGGAAGTGAGTGTGTGAGTGGCGTGAGGGCCACGATTTCGTGAGGGGCGTGAGGGCGGTGAGTGCGTGAGGCCCCCTTCGTACTGAGCAACTTTCTCAGCAATGTTGGTGTTGCTGGTGAGTTGTTCCCTAGCTTTCCCTACATCACCGTGCCTTAGATCGACACGAATTTCTGAGATTGGGTCCGGCTTGAAACAAGCGAGCAACTCTGAGCAATTCGAAGATGTTTGAAGCGGCTGCATCCAATCAGGGACGCAATATTTTCACGTGATACCTTGTGCCGGTGATGATGACAACAAAGGACTTTGTTCTGGTTTGAAATTTATCGTTTTGGGAAATAAACTGTTTCAGAAAGATGTATTAGTAATCTCAACGAGATTTAAATGTATAAAAACACGTTTATAGCACGTAATGGGGTGTCTAAATAGTGCAAGAAAAATATTTCATGATGATGATGGCAAACTGCAGCAATTGGTTGCTGCGTGTGAATGCAGGCGGCCCGTGTTGCTGGTGTTGCCACGTCCAGTTTCTGGGCGAAATTGCCCCATCTGAAGCGGGCCTGCGTGGCGTGAGGGCCATGAGTGCATGAGGGGCATGAGGGGTATCAGTGCGTGAGGGCCGTAAGTGCGTGAGGGCTATAAGTGCGTGAGGGCCGTGAGGGCGGTGAGTGCGTCAGGGCCATGAGTGAGTGAGGGGCGTGAGGGCGGTGAGTGGCGTCAGGGCGGTGAGTGGCGGGAGGGGTGTGAGGGGTATCAGTGCGTGAGGGCGGTGAAGGGCGTGAGGGCCTGAGGGCCATGAGTGAGTGAGGGGCGTGAGGGCCGTGAGGTTCAGTGAGGGTGAGTGAAGGGCTGAAGGTGAATGTGACTGTGAGGATGAGGGTGAGTGAGGGGTTGAAGGTGAGTGTAGCTGTGAGGGTGAGTGAGGGGTTGAAGGTGAGTGTAGCTGTGAGGGTGAGTGAGGGGATTAGGTGAGTGTGGCTGCGAGGATAAGGGTGAGTGAGGCAGACCTAAAATGCCGACTCTGCCTACAACACAAACGCAATTTTAAAAAAAATTTGGCCTACCAGTTAACAGAGTATAGCAAACCGCAAATATTGTCCTTTTTCGTGATACGTAATCGACGAGGTGCTCACGCAATCTTCTCATGTTTCTTTAGTGGCCAAGGCTTCCAGCACTTCACGTGTGAAGGGGTTCTTGTTCCATTGAAGGACGGTTATGCTGGTGAGCTTTGCATTCCGTCCAGAGGTCCAGCAATGAGCCGACAGATATCCCGCTGATGTACCCTTCACCAACGCTGCGTGCACCAACGCTGCGTGCTCCCTTGCTCTATCGTTTATACATCGGCCAGTTTGGCCAATATAGCTCTTCCCGCAAGAGACGGGAATATGATAAAATACCCCCGTTACGCATGGGGCATGGTGTGCTCTATGGGCTATGTCACATATCGTCAGTTGATCATGTCCTTTGTTGACCCTGCAGTACATGGAGTAGGCTTTGTTTGGTGCTGAACAAACAACCTGAATATCTTGCCTGCCTGCGATCTTTCTTAGCCTGTGGGTTACTCCACGCATGTAGGGCACAACTGCAATTTTGCATCGCATTGGTTCTTGTTTTTCGTGTTCAGCCGACCCGACAGTCGACAAGAGGTTGCTAAAAGGTGCTTTGTGTCACCACCCTTCGGCTTAGCAGAACGAGTGCTCCGAGGATGCTTTTGCACACTTTTGCAGTCGTCTTTGCATTTGATAACATGCAGCTTTACGCTGCTTTTTTTAGGAACACGATGTGGCTGTCAGCGGCCATTTTTTCACCTTTAGGAATCTGAGGAATGGAATGGTGAAGTTTAGCCATTCTAGGAATGGGAATGGGCCCAGTGCCTCCGTTCCGAGGAGTTGAAAGGAATGGAATTGTCAGAAACTCTAATTCCTCAGAATGGAACTGGAATGGAATGGGGGTGCCCATTCCACAACACTGCAAGCAACACCCAAGGTCTCCCACGTGCATCTGGAGGAACCTCACCTCGCCACCAAGAATTTTGATGAGGGCACACATTTTGCTGTGCGGAGGGGAGCTTTTGTGGGACACATAGAAGCTGCCCATTCCAGTGAGCAGGCCTTTCTTGTTCCGTTTCTTCTTGGCCTTCTGCCGATCCAGTCTGCTCAACTGCAGGAGTGAGGCATCAAGAAACACAAAAAACCGTCAGATGGCAAGCACTACACAGTTTCAAGGTCGTCTAGGGATTTCAAAGAGAGGGCTAGCTAACAAACATATTCTGATGCAACACTATTACTGCTCAGAAGATTTAATCATACTTTTTTTTAGTTTACACTTATTGTTAGCTTCACCACGATTGTTACAAAGTTGGTTCCTAAGAATGCTCCCATACTTTAGGCAGTCTTCACCCTGTTAAGTTTAGATGAAGTCATTTCGTGAAAGTTCGCAGGGGCCATCAATGATGAAACTGTCGCAGGTTATGCAGTGCTATACAGGCTGTTTCACTGAACCTCGGCAAAAACATCTGCATAAAAATTATTCATCGCACAGAAACATGATTAATACAGCATGCCACAGTCAAGGGGCCTATTTATTAAGGAACACGGCATTTAAGATGATGAAAATTTTCAATAACCTTGCGGAACTAACTTTTTCGTAAAAATAAGCATTTAGTTACAATCTAAAATATGTTGGGCATCATCAAAAACCCCTAAATCAGTCATTTGAGAAAGATTTGGAGCACATACTTTGTTTTTTGTGGGTGCTGAAAAGCATCCAACTGCAATGTGCCCGCATTGTTTTTCGTTTCTTATTATGAAAATTTTCACTTCGCCAACCTTGTGCCCGTAGCACAAGAGGTAACTTTCGCACACCACGCCCTTTCCTGTGCGCTCCCAAGTGTTTTTAAAATTTACAGATTTAATGGTTTTCAATAGCACCCAGACAGTTTCAAATTAAAATCATGTTTATTTTACTAATGAAAAAATTTATTAGTCAAAACTAATTCAGGAGTTAATTATTCAAAACTTCATGTACCTGACTAATTTGGTCCCTAAACAGAGACTGATAAAGCACCATTATTTTTCTGTGCAATGCATACCGTAGTTTTCATAGGAAAGTTTTGACAGACGTTCGGTGAAACACCCGGTGTATCCATACACCATGTCTATTACCCAGATTTATAGGATAATAAATTGTCTAGTTTCACCAAGTTGCAACAAAATGTTATTGCCAGCCACAACTATTTGGTTTAAGTAGGAACTCAGTTCATCAAGTGCCAGAGGGACAGCACGTCAGGCGCAGCTTTGTTACGACTGTATATTAGCTTCGTTCAGCACCACAGGTTTAAAAAGTTATCAAGCTTAAATTAGCACAAACCCCAGCTCAGTACAGGTCGGTCTAGCATGGGATAGCTAAAAATTAAGGTTTCATATTTTCTATATAGGTAGTATATCTTTCTTAAAATATGAGGAATGCATTTTAGGTGCCTATTCATTCCTACACATGCAGTTTGTTTCAAAGCACAATCCCTTTTACATCCCAAAATATTGCAAACAGTTATTCTTATGTATAATAACTTGCCGCTCACGGTTTGTTTTGTTTCTAACAGATGCTGCCATTTAGGGACAATTTCAACTATGTTTCTTCAACATTTTCTCAGAATGAGCTCGGCCTGATCTATAGATACTTTTATTTGCAATTCAACTTCATTTTATTGGGATAGTACAACAAAATTTGATCTCCTATTTTACTGTCTAAATGTCAAGCATGTTCTGGCCACACCACGGAGACACCGATCTTTAGGGCGATAGCTTTACGGGTGATACTTTGCAGAGGTTTTGACCTTGTCCCTTATCGTCACCGCTACGGAAAAACCCTGTTCTCCGCTCCTGGTGCGAGACCAGAAAAGTCAGGTTTTCCTGTCAGCCATGCAGCGCGGGGCCAACGGGAAGACGGCGTCTCGCCAAGAATTGAACAACGAAGGGAGAGCAATTGTATCGTCTGCTTAAAAGACTTATTTTCAAACATTACTTGCATTATGCAAAATCCCACTTTGGCAGTATCCAGTTGCTATGTGTAATGCTGGACGGTTTTAGAAGCTTCCACCACGCTTAGCCACTTACTTCACAGATTATTGGTGGCAGTCGTCAGTGGCATCCATTACGCCAACCACGATGGCTATGCGAATTGACCCCATTGCACCTCCGTCCTCAGGTATGTGACGGCACCATTCCACCCGCACTGCGCGACCATGCTACGGCGATCGCTTTCGTTTCTTCACACATTGTAGGTAAAAAATATGACTTTTGTGAAAAAAAGACACCAAACCAATATTTAAAAAATAAAGCAATTACCATATTGCACCTAGTGGATTTTCCCAAACGTCGTTACGCCAAACTTCCCATAAAAGCGGCGCTGCTCCGCGGAAGTATGGCGCCGAGCTCTGAACGCGCATAGGCTGTGAAACCCGGGTAAACCGTATTTCCCTTCTCTACCCATTCAACTTCTGCGGGCAGCGGGCATCTCAAACGGCCAGGTTGCAGCACACTGACGGCCACCAAGTGGCAAAGCTCACAACCACGCCAGCCTGCCTGTAGCCTTGCCCATGAAGTTAAACATGACGTCACAAACACTCTGGAGGCACCGGATCTGCGATTGTCATTCACGACGTGCGATTGTCATCAGCAGATTTTGTTGATCGTTTTATGTGCATTGTCATTAGCAGATTTTGTTGATCATGTTTAAATTATTTCTGAATGTGGGAGCTATAGTTCAATTTTCTTTTCGGTATGCCTTAAACCACAGATGCATATTAGTCAATAAAAAAAGGGCCACCTTTCATTTGCCAGATGCTCATTCTTTGTACGATGATTGGTAATATGGCAAAGTATGTCGCAAAAGAAAGCCATAGGCCGATTCAAATGCTTCACTTCAAAATTCACAGCCGTACAAACTAACAATTAAAATCAGAAAATGTTAATTGAACAATTCAGTGAGACACCCACTGTGCATTTCCCAGAAGGGTGCACCCAGTCTACATTTGTTTGCTGTTTGCAAAGTAAGCAAAGGGATCAAGATAGCCCATTCAAGTGGATGGCTTCCCACTTTCTCAACTGTTGCCCGACATTATCTTTAGTTTTTCTTCAAACCCGAAAGTTGAAGGGCTTCCACAAAATGATAACAACCCCTTCTAACTGTTGGTGCTGTACAGTGGAAGCATCTGTACTAATGGCAGTAACAAAAGCAGTGTTTTTTCCACGATCACATGCTCTGAATTTCGTAAATAGACCTTACGCCAAATTAACCACGCACCAAGGAGAACGTAGATACATGCGCTCACCTTATCTGTATATATGATTCAAAGAACCAAAACAAGGTGTTGACAAATGCACTTGCTAAGTGCCATTTGTTTTAGATTTTTGCTTTAGAACAGTTATTGATGCGGAAACCAGCGTGTACACTGCATGTAACTACATGAGCAGCATGGTCCTTGGTGCTTGGGTAATTTAGAAATAGGTCCATCAAAGGTGACATTCATGTACCTCTCTGCAGAAATGTTTTTCCCATTATCTGCTCTTTAATTTGATAGGCTTTTGAATTTGGAGGTGATCAGCAGCCTTTCATTGCTGCCATCAGCGGAAGGGGTGGCTGAGTGGCTTTTGAGAAAGGCCCATTGTCTCGGTAATTTTGCTTGGAAAAATCGGCAGCGTTCATCACTCAACACTCACTCGAACAGCAGGAAACATGTCTGACAGCTCAAAGGGATCTTCGTCAAGCCAGTACCCAGATTCCAGAGACCGGTACACCTGCAGCCAACATACCGGTAAGTAAGAACGGTAAAATAATATGGGCTTTTATGTTGCTTTACCATGAGTAAACATCATTGCATTGTCAACGAGATCAGAATTTGCCAACCAAAAAGTCAGACGTCAGATATGCTGAACAGTGGTCAAAGCATCCTGTGCTTCGACCATTTTATGCAAGTAAGTGATGTGATTGGCCCAAGCCATTTTGGAGCACCTTTCGAAGCAGCCAAAACAGTATTTTGGAGCAGCAAATGTGGTTTTTGGAGCAACCAAAACAGTGTTAGGGAGCAGCAAAAGTGGCTCTTAGAGCAGCCAAGACAGTTTTTCGGAGCAGCAAAAGTGGCTTTTGGAGCAAATATTCTTATAAAAATAAAAATATTTGTTTTAAGTGCTGTACAAACGAAGGGCACTTCGTGTTGTGTTATGTTCTGATGCGACGTGTTGTGATGCAACTCGTTGCATGTGTTTTTACTACTGAGACATCCCACAAGCGTACAGTGCTGTAGGCATTGCCGAGCAATTCCGAAAAACCGCTTGCCACCGTTTTACTGGTTCCCAACGTGCCAGATTTTCGTCAAAAGTAAGCAAACATAAAACAATTGATTGCAAGCGTCCCGGCTGGTGCCTCTGTCGTGCAATCATGTTCGCATGCACTTGAGGGCAACTTCGGCAGGCTTGCAGTTGCGCATGCTTTGTTGAGCGAGCGGAGACAACGGCTGTTCGATCGAAACCGAAACCATGCCACTCCACTCCGTCGGCAACTGATTCCCAAAACTGTATGCAAAATGTAACTGTTGAGCATACAACGAAAAAAAAGTCCAGCGGCACGTGCTTGCCAGGCCGGCAAACAAGGTACAAGCTAAACACACACACACACACACACACAAAAGAAAAAAAAAGAACTTGACCGCATTGATGCAAGACATCGCGAGCCAGGGTCAAAAAGTTCTTGGAGCGCTTTGTGCAATGACTGAACTCGAAACAAACAAGCGTGCTGTGCGGGTTCAGTGTGAAGACATTGCCTTCTTTGCTTTAGCTCACTTCTCTTCAACTTTCTTTCGCGGCAGATTTTTCTTGTACAGGGGTCCCTCTCGAAAGAAAGCCCACCGAGAGAAACCTAGGTAATCAATACTTCGACATAGCAATCTTAGAGTTAAAGGGAGACTTTTGTAGTAACGTATGATTTAAACAAGAACAGGAATGTTGATGAACGTGCGGCGGTACTTAGTTTCATTCTAGAAAGCGCCATATCTGCAGCGACGTGGGGACGACAACACCGGACATCCTGCGACCACGGTGACTGGAAGGCAGGGACCAAAACTAGTTTTCCCACAGCCATTGCTTTCAGGAGTTCTTCAGCTCACAAAGTAACTCTCACGGTGCAAAAACGTGGTTTCATTTCACATCATGACGGCATGGCTGGTACCCGGCATTCTAGCGATGGAGCGTCCGCACACACCCGTGTCTACCGTTGAAAAAAAAAAAAAATATATATATATAAAAAAGACACGAGATGACACCCACGAGACGACGAGAGCACGAAACGCGAGACAACGGGAAAACGATGCAAGACCAAATGGATAATTGATGCAGGGGACTTTGTGTCGGGCGGCCACCTGCGCCACGTAACACACGCATGCTCAATTACGGTACTCAATTTAGTTTTGGTTTTGAAAGGCGATTGAAATTGGTGTTTTAGCGCAGGCTTGGCGCAGATTACCCATATTTTGGCAAAATGTAGCAGTATATAGCAGGGTTAGCCCCCTGGTGCAGCAATCACATCACTGAAGTATTTCAGATATTGAGATTTGTTGTACTCGGCTTTAAAGCACGGGGTGACAGCTTAGAATTTAGATCCCAAAATTTCATCTGCGGCAAAAGTAAATCAAGCAAGCCTCAAGTTTATTGGAGCAGCTTTGTTTAACTTTACGGGTGCATGTCATGCACTGGAGCTTTCCTGAGAGAGGCAATTTTGATGGGCATGCATAAGCCCACTGTACTTTATGGCATTTGCCTAAAGTCATAACATTTGATTAAAATATTTCTGCAATCAACAGTTCAGCAAAGAGTGGCAGTGGTGGCTCAGGCTGAGCTAGATGAAACCATCTACAGATTGGTCCTGCTCTTGCAATACACACTCACCCACTTTGTAGGAAGGATCCAACATCCCTTTGCCATGGCAAAGAGCAGGTTGAGGGTCCTCAGCTTTTCTCCACAAATGAGGTGCGTTGTTCGTTCTGTCACATCGTCTTCCACTTGAAACCGACCCAATTTTGATACAATTCCACAGATTGCTTCCCTGTCACTGGAGAAGGCCATGCAGACACCACACACTTTCAAGCACAGCCAACTCAATTCGGACAATGCAGCTAAGGTGCATGTACAGTTTAAAAGACTGCACAAAAATCTTAGCTGTGTCAAAACACAGGACTGGTTCAAAAAAATACTGTGTTGCCCCAGCAAGGAACAACACACTGGGTTCAGATGGCATGGACAAATCACAGTTCAACTGAAGGTACCAATCTGCTTATTATTTAAAGGCCAGTGGCAATTAGATAAGACAAGACTTACAAATTAAAGTTTGCAGCTGTACTCCCTCAATGCTACTAACAAACTTTCTTGAGTTTGAGGAACTCAAGTAAAACAATTGTTTTGTTGGGAAAGTCTTTCAGGGTTCCTTAAGTGATGACAAGTAGAGTCAATCATTCCACTTAGAGAGCTCTGGGCGATGCCATTTTCTCCAACTTCTGCACCCTCTACACACATCCGGGTATTTCAATGGATTTGGTGCAGTAAAAGAGGGTAATAGCAAACAGGAGATGCACTGGTGAAGAATTAAGGCTGAGCACTCCGGCCCCGAGGAATGGCCTATATTTACCCCAGTTGCACATTGGTCATAACAATTGAAGGTCTCTTGTCACTGCTTTTTGACAAAAAGTAATGACAGTCTTCGATCCATGTTGTCGATACTCTTTTTCTCTTTTGTTTTTTTGGCTTCTGTAAGAAAGAAACAGCAACAATGTCACATACCGTTCAAACATAACTGTTCAGTGCTGTGGAAATCCTAGTTGGGCTATTCCACCCAGCAGTCCATTATTGTGAGCTGAAAGTTCTGGACGAAGGCTTGATTGCACATGTTTTTGTGACAGACTGCTTTAGGGAATATTAAAGCATGGCTCCTAAGTGCATGGGCTATCTCTCCCAACACATAGTATTTTTCCCAAGATAGATGAAACTCAACCACTGACTGTGCCACAAAAAACAGCAACCAGGATAGTTCCACATTTTGGTTTCAGTTCATTGTTTGCATGGCCAGCCAGTTCAATTTCGATATTCACATTTCTTGTTATCACAAGCAGTGCTTAAAAAGTAACAGTAACAAAACTGTACTGCTGCCTCCTGAAGGAAGCTAGGCACCTTTACAACTAAAGCACTGAACAAAAAAAAAAAAAATTTCTTTTTCGTCTATTAGTACTACAGAGACAAGCACAGTAGGCATCCAAAGATATCAGCACTAGGCAGTGATTGGTGGGCCAGCAAAAAGGTGTGATACACCGGGAACAAAACGGGTAGGATATCCCTCTTCATCGTTTCTCGGGGATGCTCGGCAGATAGCAGCTGTTCCCCAATGTGTTCCCGTTTTGCTTGCTGAATGATAGCAGCCACATCAGTTTTGAGGCAATTTATGTTTTATAGGACTTGACAGTTTCTTTTGTGCTCATGGTGCACAAGCATCCTTGTATCAGGCACGTAGCCAGGGGGCGGCCCATGGGGCCCAGCCCCCCCCCCAAAATCTTTGATTTTGCTGGGACACTCTCCCCCCTCCCCCTCATACAAGGTGTGCTTGTGCTCCAAAAGTGCTTTCTGCTGCTCCACAATGGACTTTTGGCTGCTCCGTAAGGCGCCACAAAATGACTCGGGCGAATCGCATCACCGGTGTAATTTGTCACGAATACAACACATTTTAACTAAAGTAGATGTTAAAATGGGTGACTAGTTGGCAAACTGTTAGGGCTGAAAGCTAGCGCCACCTGGGTGCGAGAGAGAGAAGGGACGGTTGACGGATGGGGGATGAAGGTAAGAGCTCTCAAACGGAGAGTCGTCGTTATGGCTGCGAAAAGAAATGGTTGCACGCTTTTGTAATCGGCTCCAAACATTATTAAAAGTTGTGTTTTAATTGAAAATACTATGTTATCGAGGAAACGGAAGTCTAACAGAACCTCGAAGATGGACAATTATGACCTTTACAAAGAATCCTCGTATTTAACTCCCGGAGGAAAGTCTTTACGCGCATTGTGTGGCAAGTCAACCCGGAACATTGTATGGGCCTTACCCATGTCGAGAAAAGCATTTAGAAGTTGAGCTAAGAGAAAATCTAAACTGCCTCAACGAGCACTTCGACTTGAAGCCAGCAGAAATTCAGACTTAAAGCCGGCAGAACTGCCGAGATGTTCTAGGTTCAACAGCGAAAACAAGTGCTGACAAATGAACACCTGGGAACATTGCCGGCAAAATGGCATGTCATCATATCGGAGCAGGGACCAGGCACGTAGCCAGGATTGTGTTTCGGGGAGGGGGCCGCCCATGACAAAATGCTCTATGAGGGGGAGGGGGGAAAGGAGGTCCCAGCAATATGGAAGATTTCAGGGGGGGGGGGGGCCGGGCCCCCTGGCTACGTGCCTGGCTGGGACCAAAGATAGCTTTGAAGATGCTGTACGCCAACCATCCCGGAATGGTGGCAAGTGATTTCTGGTGGCTACGACTCAAAGCAGACAGAAGCCACAGTGGCCTCTTGCAAAGTTCGTTAATAGCACCAACAAGCAGAACCTAAGGTTCTAACTTCGTAGTGGATGCAAGCCACTTTACAATGGAATATTAGTCACATTGATTTTGCCAGACCTCTCGATGGACCTGGTCATCATAGATCCTACTCCAAGTAGCTAGAAGTTGGACCAGTGTAGTCCACAACTTTACGCACCATCAATGCCCCACAGTCCGTGTTTACCATGTTTGATCTGCCACGGATGCTCATATCCAAAAATGTGCCGAACTTCATGTCCGAAGAAATGGAAGAGTTTCTCGTCAAGAAGAGCATCCAACATTTTACAGCACGCCATACTATCAAATCCCAAACCGACAGGCAGGAAGAATGGTAGCCAGAACAAAGACAGCTTTCTTGAAGGTAACCAATGGTGCCATAGAGTGCAGGATAGCAAGGCTTTTGTTCAGACAACACACAAATGAGCCAATGATGACAGCCAAGACTCCTGTTCAATTCACGTTTGCTGTCGTTCGATCATGTTGACGACTGGCTGGCAATAAACGAGGCGTCAACCAACAACTCGGCAGCGTGCTACTCAACCGGTCAGTCTGTTTACATCGGCAACTTCTCCAGAACTCCAGAGGTTACCATAACATCCAACTGACAAATAGATCATTCCTCGCCGAAATTGACGGACGTTGCCACTGGCGATACATATACCATGTTCGTCATGAAAAATCAAGTACCCCAGCTGAAGACACCGAGAAAACAAATTCTCCAGTTTTTAGATACCACAAGGCGGAGATGCTAACCACTACTTAAAAAATACTTTTAAAAAAATGTTTTGTTAAATTTTTTTTTAAATTTATTTAAGACATGCTCTTAGTTAACTAGTTTATTAGTCTACTATCTTTTTCTCTTCAGACTAGGTCAAGGTTAAGAAAGACATGTTCATACAAAACAAACCGTAAAGTCCTCCAGACTGGTGCGACTTTTCCTGGCATCAAAACCCGAGTCACTTTCATCCGGTGATGCTGACGCAGAAGACGGACCGATCTCCTTGTCAGTCGCCATCTACGGAAAGTGTTGCAAGAATGGCGATTGTCAAGGTATGTTCCACATTGCTAAAAGGCAGTATTGGCAACATAAAAGCTGATTTGAAGTCTCCCGGAGCTGCACAAAATTAGCTTTTGCCAATCCGGAGCTGCACTTAATTGGCTTTTGCCAATCTAAAATAATACCTCCAGGCCATCAAAAGTGATGCCGACTGGAAGAAGTAAAAAACCATCTGTGGGCAACAAATAAATTGTTATATAGATGCAAGCATTATTGGTAGTTCAGAGTAACCAGCTGGAACTTTATACAAAACTTACTTTGACGCCGAAACACACCTCTCTTGAGCGAACGAGTGTGTTTCGGGTCCTTGTCGCTGCAAAAGCTGTGCACTGACGTTTAGGTTCCCCGAGAAAAGGTAAGCAGTTCTTGATAAATTCTTTAGGCATTTATACTGTAACATTGGGTCGTGAGAAGCAAACTGCCTGCATGGCAATAAACTAAATTATTTTGTTCAAAGGGGTATTCTGGATAGCAAACAATCACTCATAAGTATGGTCTTGCATCATTCTTCCAGTTTGCTAGCTCATGGTTTTCTGGTTTAAATTTGAGCTCTGTCAGCATTTCAAGATACTAGTCACCAGAGCCCTCAATTTGGCAGTGAAATGGCTTTCACCACAAGATCCAATTCTTCAGAACTTCTCAATAAATGAAGGTAGCATTTGGGCCACTCTGTTCCCAGATACAAAGTAACAAATGTTCTACCTCGAGTCGCTTCTTACACCGCAAGTCTTCGCCACCCACACAGCAAGGACCTATAAAACAAAAGCAGCTTTTCAGAATAATCTTAGAAGACAAGCAACTACCATTAATGTTCAAGACATGCAGTATTCAAAAGTACAGAAGTAACACTGCAAGTAAATTTTGGAAAATTCTACCTTACTTGAGTAGATTTTTCAGGTGCCTAAGTAGTTAGAGAGGTTTGTGTCACAAAATTAAGCTTAGTCAAAACCGAAGAAATGCAGAGAGCAACATTTCATTCACATCATAGGAACAAAGGACAGGGCGAAATTTTGTTTAGAAGTCAGTCAGGCTGGGTGCAAGCAAAATGAGCTTGCACCCAGCCTCGCTCTGTGTGATGCAAAAGTGTCAGACAACCAGGACAGATGTTTGAATACCATTTGGATGGCAAGGATAGTGCACTACTGCTCTCTACAACAGCAGCAGCAAAGGAATCAGTGAAGCTACTTTTCCAGTCACATCTTGGTTCAACAGCCTGCTGACAAGCTTATTTGAGAAAACTCTTTTTCAAGGTAAAGCACAAGTCTGTTCGCAAGCTGCTTGGTCATTTCGTGCTGAATTTCCCACCCATTTTAATTAATTTTTGTTTTAGGGGCTAAAAGAATATTTGGGCACACTGCATTGAATTAGGTGCACTTTAAAAGTCATTGTGATTGAGCAGAATACTAAGCAAACTCAACTGCCAAAGGCATTTCAATTAAATATAGCAGAAACTCAAACCTGCCTTGGCAATAACCAAGCACTGCTTGTGGACAAAAAAAGCCGTTTACAACTCCCTGTAACACCGAATTGGAGCGCAGCTCTTGAGGAGGAGGAGGGAAGGGCACTGAGGGTTACCTGTTCTCGGGGCGGGGGGGGGGGGGGGGGTCATGCGACCTTGGGGGGTCACGTGACCCCCCAGAAAAATTTTTCCACTAGATTTAGCGGGGAATTTTTTGCGCTAGATTTAGAGGGGAAATTTTTCCGCTAGATTTAGCGGGGAAATTTTTCCGCTAAATCTAGAGGGGAAATTTTTCCGCTAGATTTAGCGGGGAAATTTTTCCGCTAGATTTAGCGGGGAATATTTTCCGCTAGATTTAGCGGGTAAATTTTTCCGCTAAATCTAGCGGGGAAATTTTTCCGCTAAATCTAGCGGGGAAATTTTTCCGCTAGATTTAGCGGGGAATTTTTCCCGCTAGATTTAGCGGAGAAATTTTTCCGTTAGATTTAGCGGGGAATTTTTTCCGCTAGATTTAGCGGGGAAATTTTTCCGCTAAATCTAGCGGGGAAATTTTTCCGCTAAATTTAGCGGGGAATTTTTCCCGCTAGATTTAGCGGGGAATTTTTCCCGCTAGATTTAGCGGGGAAATTTTTCCGCTAAATCTAGCGGGGAAATTTTTCCGCTAAATCTAGCGGGGAAATTTTTCCGCTAGATTTAGCGGGGAATTTTCCCGCTAGATTTAGCGGAGAAATTTTTCCGTTAGATTTAGCGGGGAATTTTTCCCGCTAGATTTAGCGGGGAAATTTTTCCGCTAAATCTAGCGGGGAAATTTTTCCGCTAAATTTAGCGGGGAATTTTTCCCGCTAGATTTAGCGGAGAAATTTTTCCGTTAGATTTAGCGGGGAATTTTTCCCGCTAGATTTAGCGGGGAAATTTTTCCGCTAGATTTAGCGGGGAATTTTTTCCGCTAAATCTAGCGGGGAAATTTTTACGCTAGAGTTAGCGGAGAAATTTACCTATAATGCACCGTGCGATTACGCCGACGGCGACGCCGCTCAAGCCGGAAACAAGCCCCTAAGAGCTGCGCTCTAACAACACACATCTATTCGCTAATGAAGCACAGTGAGAGCCAATCACTGATCTGCCAAAGGAGTCCAAGAAGTGGCAGATACATGCATTTGCACAAAGAAGTTCTTTGCAATGCAGTGTATTTTATAATGAGGAAAGGCTAACTTCCAGTCACTTTGCTATGCTTTCAATGACAAATGACAACACTCCAACGCACCTTCTGTGACTTTGTTAGCAGACCAGAACGAGAGGGCCCCAATCCGGACGCTAAGCGGACTGAGCTCCTCATCGGAGTCATCGTCAGGATAATTTTCAGGTTTCTTGGCGACAATCAAAGGCTCAGGTGATGTGCTAGGTCCCTTGTTTACAGGAACAAACAGCCTCCGTTTGCGACCTTGGTTTGCATCCACTGCTGCTGGGCCGTCATCCTTGCTGCCACTCTCATTTCCATCTTCATTCACGCTTAATGGACATACATCCACAGAGGTGGCCTTGAGGTTTGCCAGCTTACGAGCACTTTCCGCTGCAATGGACAGGCATATTGATTGAGGGGCTATGTGCCACTTTTTTCCTCCCTCTCAACACTGTTAGTTGGGTATTACCTATGAATGCCGCACCTTCATCAGGCTCAGTCAAAACTGTTTTTGCAGGTGCAACAAAACAAGATGGATCTTTAACCTTTTTTCACTTACATTGTTATTGAATATGCGGTATCGCCTATGCCCTTGAATTGTAAGGGTACATTCAATATATAAAACAAAATATATGACAGCATTCATAAACCTAACAGCAATAAGAAACACATGTTATCGAAAGGTTGGCAATACAATCCTATCCCTTTTTTTTTGGCAAGTTAAAAAGTTGGTCAAGCTGTCCACGATACATACTGTAAGTAAGAGGCATGTGAAGCAACAACTTCAACCTGTGACTACAATATCATGGGAAACCCGAGCCACCTACCCCGAAACTTGAGGAGGTTGGTGCGCATGGAACGCTCGGACAAAGGTGAGCGCAGCGATGACGTCTTTGCCTGCCACACCTGGAACAACGTAGAAGCAGGAAACAGACAATAAATAATGGATTGATACTAAGATTAATTCAAAGTGCAAGCCAGAGCCCAAGTCCCTAAGGGTGGCACCAACTGCTTACAAGCAAAAACCGCCGGACCAGCTATCAATGCCAACACCAACAAAGAAGAGGAAGCCATCTCGTAAATATCGGATTGCTAAGAACCATTTTTTCTCTTACTACCGCAAAATCCCGAGAGATGCCCCACCTCTGAAAGATAGCCCACCCCTATTCGTGGCTTGATTTGCCATATTTTTTTAAACACCGAAAGAAAGCCCACTCCTAGTAATAGTAGTGTTGGGATCAGTGATAGCCTCGGCGTAAATGGGGCTAGTTAACTATTGCGGGATATAAGAAAACGTTCCTGACTGGGAAGTAGTCATCTTTGCTTCGTAGCTCCTCGCCACCATAACAAGCTTGGAAGGAGGGACACAACCTAAAAATAGAAATCCTTTAACTTTTCTTGATGGTACACCGAAAGTTAGCCCACTCCATATTTTTACCCAATTTGCTCCAGATGTTATGTGGGCTCTCTCTCGGAATATTACGGTAGGTTGCTAAAATACTTTTCACTGGCCTATAAATAGGGCTCAGTGTTTTCGGATAAATCCGAAAAACTCTGAAAAACACCCGCCGGTAAAATTTTAATCAATTCGGATTTATACGATAAACTCAGAATTTTGATGTGCCAATGCCACCCCTCCCCCCCTTTCCAATAAACTAAATAAAGATGGTATTTTATAATTAAGTTTGATCAGCGCAAAGAGTCAACGGTCTTAAGAAAATGGCAGCACAGTTATCTTTCAAATCTCGGTTCATTGACAAAAAGGGGTCTTACCGATCATCTCTTCAAGGTTCAGAACGACATGTCATTGCGCATTCGGGTCACGACAAAAGCCCCTGTATTGGTTTCCAGTTTGGGCCATACTATTTGTGTTTTAAGAGGAAGAGAGGTTGTGTTTTTGTAACAGCTAAAGCTATATATGGATCCTAGAGATACCATAAAATTGGAAGAGGGGCAGTTGAAACTTCTCTATTACATCCTTTACCACTCCAGCTCGCGCGGCTGCGGGGTAGCATGGAATAGGATGGGGAGAATATGTGCTACCCAGCGACTACCTTCACGAGTTTATTTTTAAGGTGTCGGCATTTATCCAAGCCACAGATGTGTGCAACTTTTGCCGTGGGACAAATTAGTATTGCCAATGGCAATGGCACCAACACCAAACCCAGTTGAAGAAATATTTGATATAAGCGCGTTTTATTTTTCCTTATCTAGCATACGTATACACCGGGATATTATTTTTTGGTTTTTCATAAGAAACACAGCAAAATAAAGCTCCGATTTTCGAAGATTTTGGAATCAAACAAAAATAAACTCCTATAAACTCCGAATTTTCGGAAAACAATAAACTACGAAAAACACCCTCCGAATTTGATGAAAAATAAACTCCAAAACAAGGAATCCTACCTAAAAAGTTATATCCCTAGGATATCACCAAGGGTACGGCACATCCTTCTAGCTTGTCAAATACATGCCAATGAGATTGAAAGGCACTCGTTAAATGTCCCACCGATACTGTCAAAAGAAAAAAAAAAATCTATGAAAACACTAGATAGACCTGGTGCTCCAAATGTACAAGCCAAAACTGAAATCTGAGATTTAGCCTTCACGTAAGTGGCATGTTCGAAAAAAAAAGTGTGCAGGCGAGGTGGTGGACGTCGGTCATGTTGTGTAAATTGCCCTAGGCTGTGGTAAAATATGGGACACTTGGTAGAAGAAAAAGGACACAGGAAAAGGAATGTCTCAAACTCGGCTACCGTGCATTTCCTCAAATTCTCACATGGCAACAAACCTAACTCCGACCACCATGTCACTGCACTGTTCGTCTACCAAGTTTCCCATTTTTTACCAGTCTCAGGTAATTTTCAACACGACAAAGTACTACACTGTCCCAAAATTTGGACCACAAAAACAGTTGGTGATTGCCAGCAACTCGGCAATCTGTCAGGCGCTGGACTAGGTGGGCTAGCTAGCCCAGGTCGGGTAGGGGCAACGAGTTGAAACCGTATCAACTGGTTGCAGCAGTAGCCGCTAAAGTAGTGCGAAAACCACAAAAAATGGTAGATCACGTGGTTCTGTCAAGTTTGGAGGGCACGGTACATATTCTATGTTCAGCAGCAAATGTTCTTCGACGACCATAAAAAAAAGAAAAGATTAACGACCTTAGACTGACCTTAGTGCTAGAAACTGTGAACTTAGATGGAGTAGTCAACAGCTGATGTGAGGCATTCCTTGGTGAAGTCTGAACAAGTGGTGTTGACAGACTCCCTGGACTCATAGCTGGGGGAGTGACCGGACTATCCTGCTGCTGACAGGCTGGGGAGCCTTTCTTGGCCCTTCTAATACTGTAGACAGGCTTCTTGGTCAGCCAAGACTTGGGTTTCTGCAATGGGTTTGAAAGTAGGAAGACTTTTTAAAATGTAATTTTAAGGGACATAGCAGTGCATTCATTCGCCTTACATGTTAAATTTTTTTTTTTCCTAGTATATCTTCTGCATCAAAGTTTTACACAAACAGGAAAGCATACAGTGGATGGTTTACTGTGGGCAACATTACAATTAAAGTAGAAAGAAGGAACCCCACCCCTGCTTTCCCTGCTTCTGCAAAAAAAAAACTTTCTTTTTTCTTTCTTTTAGTACTTGTGAGAAAAGGACAAAGAATGTGAGGAGGAAACTTGAGAAAAAGATAGAGGGGGAATCTCTGCGAGAGAGCAGTATTTTTTGCAGGTTCACCTTCAAATATGTGTTATCCAGACTGAAATCTTACTTTCCTATTTCTTTGAGGCTAGATCTATGTAAATTAGCAGTAAAACTACTCCACTAATGCTTTCTGCTGTTAACAATTGAGTATGTACTCAGTTTTCCAGAGCATGTGCACGAGCTTGCCGCTAGTGCATAGATGTAGTTTAGTGAGAATCAACTACTAAACAGAAAGCCCCAAAAGTTTTAAGATAAAAAAAATAAATATAAAACATACCCTAATCTTTTTGCTCAGGATAGGACAGGCGTAGGCATCGGGAATATTCGCTGGGAACTTTTCTGGTGGAGCCAACTTACAATGGGCAAGGCACCTGGACACAAAGATCACACTGTACATAGGTTGAGATGACCCACTCCCTCAAGATATTGCCCCCGACACTGCCATACAGATTTTCCAGATCAACTGGATTGCCGCAACACAAGAATGAGAGATACGACCGACTATAAAGCCTGACCAAAGAGTGCAAAGCATAGCTTCCTGGCAAACACTATAATAATCTGGTGAGGGCTAAAAGAATATGGCTGCATCTAGCACGATACCAAAATCCTAAGAGAGTATCAGTATAGCAGCAAAAACCTCATGCTAGGAAGAAGCAAAGCTTAAAATTTTTCTATGCCATAAAATGAACTTGAAAAATCTGCTGCTGGATGCAGGAAGCTGGATGTTTCTTTGAAAGCGTGTGTTAATGGTCAGTTTTACTGGACACAAGGTCAGCATTACTCCCACTCCATAAAGAGTTAAAAGGAATACCTCTACTCTGAAATGGGCAGTTTACTTACAAAGTTCTAAGGTGTAACATTTCACCAAGTAAATGAGAGCAAAGATCTATACTTTGGATGAACCTTAAAGTTAAGCTTACTAGGTTGAGAACCAATTTTCTGAAATTAACCAATACATACAGAGCAAGAAATGTTTGGGATATCATATATGCTCCATTAAAGGGGGGGGGGGGGGGGGGGGGGGGGCACAACGATTTTCGGACTTCGGTCAAAAATTTGTGGAAGTTGCCCTCTGACACTTCTGAAGTAAAGAACAGAAAACAGATTTCGCCTGCATGTCCTAGTTGTTGTGTAAAAAAAAGATAAATATGGGAATTTTTGGCACCCCTCAACTCACTCCTAGTCTTCAGGGTCACACCTAGTGACGTAATTCGGGGTGCCGTGTAGCTTCCCGTGTGCTCTCTCAGAGGATGCTTCCTCTCTCTCTCTCTCTGCTGAGATTAACGGGCGTTATGCTGCAGCTTAGAGCCGAACGAGATCACGTAATCTTTTCACCGTAGTTCCTTCGGCTGCCACTAGCGGCTGCAGCTGGGGGAGAAAGCTACTTTTGCTTTGCGATTATGCAGCTTAATTGCAATATCTTTTAATGAATGAGATGTTTTCTTTATCCTCCGGAACACAATAAACTCCAGAGGCCCTTCAGGCCCCCGGAGGATAAACCTCCAGAGGACTTCAGGCCTTTTTCGTGACCCTCCGGGTCCCGAAAAACGACGAGATGCAAATTCGTTTAATTTTAAAATCGCCCCCCCTTTAAGCTGACAGTGCAGTGGAAGCTTCGTGCCAGTCGGACCAATCAGCTGCCTGCCTCCCTTTCACCACCTGACCCCGCTCTCAGCGCGCAAATATGGGCGGGCGCGGTGATCACATGGCAATAGTTAAATGTACGATTGGTACAACAAGTATGTAGCTCCCACTGCACTGTCAGCTTAGAGATGAACAAAGTATAGTATCTGTTAGTCGGTTATTCACCCACTAATAAACTATAAAAACATTATGTATAACTGCAAGAGCTGTCATGTGCAATTGACTTAATCTTGTTGTGCTTCTTGTTACCTTCACAATGTATGAAACAAAACATTTACAGCCTTAGAATCCTGCACACTCTAGAATTAATTGCATAAGACAACACCACATACAGAATAATTTGATTAAACATCCCATGGGCTTCCTCAAAAAGAGCAGCTATCGATTCAAAAGCTGCTTACCCCAGTCTGAAGAGGCTCAAACCCTTTTCATAGCTTACAATATGAACAGTGTTAGAAAGCCCTAACAGCACTAAATTTTAAATCTGGAACCACAGCAATCCATTAGCAGAACGACAGCACAAAATACACTCTGCAGAGCAAGAAAAAAGGACTTACTCTTCAACCCAGAGCATATTCACGAGGGGGATGTTCCATTGAAGGGCCTTGTTTCGAGTTGAGACACGGCCTTTGCTGAACACCACAAGGGTCACTGTGGGACTTATGGTCCTGCGCACTGTGGCACCCAGCTTCTCCAGTAATGGTGCCACAAAGTGCGAGATGTCCTCGGTGCCGGATCGAACTTCCACATATACTTTCATACCTGCAGATATGCATGTGGTGCTAAAATACTCTTTTGGTAACCACCAGAGAACAGTAGGAACCCTGCTCACAGCTATTTTTGTGAGATCTGTTCAATGATTAGCTTTTTCTTCTGGAGATTAATAAAGAAGTAGACCAGCCCATCCCACGAGAACATTGCCAGCTTTGTTTCTACTTTAGTAGCTATTTGCAGATAGTTACAAATTTCACTGTTCACAATGGAAACCACACTACTTTTGTAAATTTGGCTGAGCTCGCAAATCATTTAGGCACGCGCCACACTTAAAATTTTGTATCTACAACAAAGGCGGGCTGGATATCTCTTAGTCTTGCCTACACGTAACAGATGTAAGGGCGTACACTACGCAACACTGAGAAATTTGGCACGCCTTTTGTGCTTTGCATCTGGCTCCCGCCCTGTTTTAACATGATAGCGTTAAGGATCGTGCGGTACTAAATATCACACAAATGAGAATAGGAATGGAGAAATCCCTAGGTATACAATTCTAGTTTCGAACATCTAACCTCTCTCAGTTTTGCTTTTACTAGATTTCGAGACCCCAGAAATTAAGTCATTTACCACATTGTATGCAGCGCTCACACAAACTGAGGGCAAAATGGCATCCTAAGTCCAGCAAGAACTTATAATCATGTGTTAAAATACAACTGAAATATATTATTTGCTAAAAAAACTAGAGTTACTAAAGGTCAGTAAAAATTCAAGGGCTTTCATGGTCTCGAAAGCAGCACTTTCATAAACCAAGGATATTAAAGACCTTCAAGGAAGTGTATGAACTTAGTTGTAGGTGTAAGAGTTATTGGCACCACTGATCATGAATGTTGCCCTCACCTTTGAGGGGGCCATTTGGGTTCGCTGGCTCATCCGAATACTTGTTCTGGTCGACCGTTGGTTCATTGAACACCTTACCCCTGGACAATTTGTCAACAATGGCCGACACCTGTTCCCCAACACCTCCATCATCGCAAGTTGATTGTCCGCTGAACGAAAAGTCCCCGGGTGACATGGGGGACAATGGCACCTCGGGAGAGGCCACAGCAGAGGATGGAGAGCACACTCGTGGCGGACTCAAACTCGGAGGACTGGGCATGTGTAAATGTTGCCTCTTTGCTGGCGACTCAATGCCATGGCCATTACTGTATATAAGAACTTTCTTTGGAGTAATCTCGAGCACCTGCTTCGACAAATCCAACTCACTCCTTGAAGCCCTGGTCTCTGAGATGAACGAAGTGTCTTCTGCAATGTTCTCACAATGTTGATTCTCTTTCTCGGCTCTACCTCCCTTGGAGGACCCCACCACGTTGCTGCGTGTCCACGAACAATCAGCACCCGATGTTGACAAACCACTGATGCTGACTGGTTTGGAGTGTCCACACAAAATCTCTGAACTGCCATATCCGGCAAGGTCATTTTTGTTGCTCGATCTGTCCGTCTGCTTAAGCTTCCGAGTCTTCCTGGTCTTCTCTTTTGGCCGCGGCATCTGCAAAGTGATTTGAAACAGGGATAGCCATGTGAAATAAGTTAACAACTGTGAACATGGACAAAACTGCGCCAGGCTCAACAAAAACAGACACCCTTTTATGAGAAATTGACACCTACCCTTGGGAGATTTAGGCCAGTTTCTCTGCAGGAGTATGCATTTTTTTTACATTATTGCTTAATATCAAACTGCGCCGTTTCCTTTGTGAGGCTAACCCCTTCACCTCCATACAGTCTCTTCTCGGTTGACAATCCGCATTAGTTTCGTCGGCATAAAAAAAACATAATCGTGCTTTGTTTAAATGGGATTTCAATAGTACAAGTGATGACAAAAAGATCTAGCAAGAGTTGCTGATTCTTTATAATAAAGTCCCACTATGCAGGAGGCCTTTAATCTTCTACACACCTGCTACAGCACAAAATGATGCCACATTCTTTACAGATTCTAGATGCTACTTCAAAGTTGCAGAAAAAGCAAGCTCATAAAGTAAAGCTCACCATGGAATTGTCAAATGCGAAGAAATATCCCCTACGAATTTGTGAACATACTCAATCCTATCTTTTGACGGCACATATACCCTGGTTGAATGTTCACACAAACATCTTTCCCTGGCACTTTCTGATGAAACACATAAACTGTCCTCAGACTTCTAAGTAAATCCCGAAGGTGTTTGGCGGGATCTTCAGATTCACTTGTTTTCTACCTGTTTTTAGGGGAGGAGGCAATCTTTCTCGGTGTTTGCCTTTTCGGGTCCACCAAAACATATTCCTGAATTGGTCTCTGGTAAATTGCCTCAGAGATGTAATGTGGTACTATAGAATGTTGATTTTTGCAACTACTAGAGCACCTTTTGATTTTACAGTTCCACCAATTACAAAGCTTTACACGCACACCTTCTCTTGTCTTGCCGAGATGCTGGGACACTGAAGTGGGCATAGACAAGCCTACACAGAGGTCTACGCGGTCGATAAGGACAATGTAGCATCTAAAGGCAATAACTTTTCCTGTTGTCGCAGTGATGAAGCGAAGGGAACGGAATAAAAGGAAACAAAAAGTTGAGGTCGGCTAGAGCAGCACCCATGCACCACTGCTGCAAAGTGCCTAAAACCACTTTCTATAAATTACAGCGCCAAGGATCACAAAAAAACTGGACGAACAATGCTCCAACTAAGTAGAAATATGGGTGTAGCACGTTTACCCGAAGTGCAGAATTCCTGTCGCAATAGCCCCACGTCTCAAAAACCCCGTGTTCAGTGGCCCAGTTTCATAACACCCACGTGCCAAAAGTCCCGTCTTCAATACCCCCCCATATCTTTCTGCCCGAATCAGGTCAACTCGTCTCACTGTACCCTACCCATATTTCCCACCACGTTTTGACCGGCATTGTTTCGTGTCTTCACCCCGTGCACGGTGACTCCGTTTCCTACTCTCTCAGTGTGGAAAGCACAGTCTTCACTGCCCCGTTCCCCTCTCTGCTACGACTGCCGTTGTTCCGATCCTTGACCTCGACTCTTCCGAGGCTACAGCAGTGAGTGCATCAAGTGAAAGGAACAACAAGGTAACTTAGACCAGGAAAAACCCAGGGATATGACAAAGTAGACAACTGTAGGAGTTTGCAGTTCTTTTGAGGCTGATGGTATTTAAAGGAGCTGTGCAACAGTTTCAGTGCTTTGCTTAAATAATTTGGGAGTTGGTGTCTCAACCTTTCTGAAGTAAAGAACAAAAAATTGCTTCTGCCTGCATGTACTAGTTTTTATTTTAAAAATGGACAAAGATTGAGGTTTTTGGCACCTCTCAACTCCTTCACTATCTTCCGAGTCACGTGCGCTGCGACGTCAATGGGGGTCGCGCGGGGTTCCGGTGAAGCTCTCTCTAGAGCCATCAGTGAGCAGCGAGAACTCATCCGCTCGCGACCGCGTGACCACGTGCTGGCGGGCGCAGCGCGAAGAATATGGTGAAAGGAGGAAAGTCTCATCCGGGTTCGGCCATACCCGACTGGCGCTGTCCCCCTCCCCCTCCGGCTTCTGGCAGCTGTTCGCGGTAGCATATAAAGCTGACGGTTTTGTGGACCTAGAATAGATGGGGCCACGAGAACTCCGTATAATAAAAGTTATGTCAATGATACCAGGTTTTTGACGCATTTATATTTATGTTGGAACGACTAGATTTATAGTAAAGTTACCTTTTATCGAGCAGGTAGTCACACAACTTGCTATCTTTCTACAAGACCCCCATTGACATCATGCCGCGTGGTTCTTATGGCCGCCGCTCGTGGCTGAAGGTTGGGGAATATTCTAATTTTTGCCTCGCGATTACGCGGCAGAATCGCAACATTTCGGAGGAAGGAGGTGTGCTTTCTGTCCTTTGTGACAACATGAACAATTTCAAAAGTAGAAGATGCCAATTCTTTCAACGTTAAAATAGTACCGTATAAAGTTGATGAGATTATGAAAGCTCATGAACTTGTAATAAAACAAAAAACACCACACTGGCCAGCAGTGGACTCACTTGCCAAGATGTAAGTGGTTAAGACGCAGAAGGGAAAGGATGCGCTCCAATTAGATAAGTACAAGTGTTGCATATAACGCCGTAACAAGAACGAGACTGTGGTTTGGCGTTGCTACAGGTATCGCGCCATGAATTACGGATTAACAGTACTGACCGAAGACGGACGCGTGCTTCAGAATTCAGGTAAGCTTTTTCTCCCTTTGCCTTCTTTTCTAAAAAGCTGCATATCATAACGTTTTAACCAGTGCACATGCTGATATTTTATGCCTCTATGTTTTAAGGAGAGCACTCACGTGTGCCTTATGACGCGAGAGTTAGGGGGGCGGTGCAAAGATATTCAATTGGAATGTTTTTCACTTTACATGAGCTTACTCGCACTAGTGGGACTCGAGGATACTCGCATGCAACAACACTGGCTAAGAAACTGCTTTGTTGCGGTGGAATTTCAAGGTCAAAAACAAGTGTTTTCATTCAATCTCTTCTTCGCAAAACTTGATGTCGTAGCTGGGCGGTCGCAGTACTGCCCAGTGACGATATTTGAATGCAGCTCATAGATTGGACCCGAGCATTGCGTGGCCACTTGATTTGCACTCAGAATAATCAATAGCTCGAGAAGCATTCGGGTAGTGGCCCGTGTCCAATCGCTGCAATGACGACAATAGCCGAACCATAGCAATGTCTGGAACTCGGCGCGTATACTGTGCCTTGCCAACCCCAACGCATGGCTATTTCTCCAAATCACGTGGCCGCTTGTTCTGGCTGCGAGTTGAGGGGGTGAACGCTGCTCGTCTTTAATTTTTTCTGAAACTTCGATTGCTTGTGGTGAAAAACGAACAGGTGTTTCACACTTCATTAATATCAGAGATTCGTTCCAAGCGGTATTTGTGCAAAGTACAAAAATCGTTAAATTGCCCCCTTTAACAGTGCCCGTCTCAAGCTTGCCTTGAAGAAAAGGGCCGTTGCTGAACCCCACGCTGCTGATACAGAGATGCATTTCTGGCATGTGAGGAACTTGGTGGGCAAAACAAGTGACGTCAATCTAAGAATCATACCGCAAAAGATTTTTTAAAGTTAAGGTAATATTTCTCGACTTATCTTTTTTTCTTTCTCTCAGTCTTTTGTTAGGTCAAGAAAGACGTCTTAGCTGAACTTCCGACCTCCGAGTGTGTGCAGTATGATCTACAGAGCCAAAAGACAGAACCAGCCTACACTGCCCAAGACTACGGTTGACGTAAACTTAGCTGGAACATACACTAAAACTCTGAACAAAAGAAAGTTTCTTTTTTTTTTTTTTACGTGTCAACCAGCGCTGGTTGCATTGTCCGTTTAAGAACAAGCGACGCACTCACAGTTTTCTGAGGCAACAAGGTTTTTGTCAATGAAACCTTCTTCTCGTGTCCATCATTGTTTTATCAGATGTCCACTATAAGCGTTGTGAAAGAGGTGTAAGCTTCTATGTCGCTTATTTTTTGCTACCCGGCAAATCTCGCGATGTCTACATGCAGGCCTTCAAACATTTTTGGGTAGCACTAACTGACCTTAACCTTTTCACTTCGTTTGACGTTGTCCGAATGGACTTCGAACTGGTGCTGATTCAGGCCATCCTCTTTGTTTTTCCTGGTCCCCATCACCAAGGTTGCCACTTCCACTTTTGCCAAGCAATCTGACAAGAGTTTAGAAGCTCGGACTTTCGAAAGCCTATCGCTTGGACACCTCCGTGGTCGGCTTTGTAAGGAAGATGATCGGTCTCGCTTTTGTCCCAATGAACTTTGTGTGCGTAGCTTCAAGCAACCGACGCCACATTCGGACGCTCCAATTCCACTTTTGATTCTTTATTTCGAGGACATTTAGATGATGGCTAACTTTGACATTCAACAATGAAACCAGCATCAGAACCGTGGCACCCGCACCAACAGCCTGAAGGAGGCCTGGCACAGGTGAGCCGCCAGTGCTCTGGCTCAAAAGCAATTTCACTGCTGCATATATAAATATGAACATTGAAATCACTTCATAATTGCAGGAAAATAAACCACATGGTTGGAAGACCGCATCCAAACGTGTTCGCCTTCGTGGATCGTTTGAAGAAAGATGAGGCCACAAGCCAAGTATCCCTGCTGCAGCTCTCCAACGGCGACAAGGCTCGTAAGCGACTCAAGACGTGGAATGAGAAGGATGATGCCATCAAGGAGCTGGAGGGCCACTTGCGGGACGGCGCCCTAAACTTGAACGAGTTCTCTCAGAAGATTCAACGCTCCTTCGAGGCTGAAGGAAAAAGACACACGAAGACCCTGGCACGTTGAGGACACGGGGCTGTGAACACGGGAAATTGAGTCATGGACTTCTGAAACAAGGCTTTTGAAAACTGGGCAGAAAGAACGAGGCGTTTGCCGCGGGACTAATGACACGGGTTCTTTTGACATCATGGGCTTTCGTGCAGTACCCAAAATTATTAGGTACACCAGCGCGTGCGCACCCCCCCCCCCCGCCCCCCCCTCCCCCCCTCCCCCCTCAAAAAAAAAAAAACACACACACACGCACGCGCGCGCGCGCACGCACACGCACACGCGCACACGCACGATACATTGTCACTGGAAGTTACAATATCGGGGAGATAACACCTCCGTATTCGTGCGCGATGTTTCAACTCTTCCATAGCACACGTCCCAAGCAAAAGTCGCTATTTTACATATTCAGCGGAGTGATGCAAGAAGTTTAATGTTGGTAGAACCAACGCTGGCTGACGGCTGAACCAGCTGAACCGTCAGACCACTGCAAGCAGTAGGCCTAACTGAGCCGAACAGAGACGCGTATACCTTTCGGCTGTGGTGGGGGCGTAGACCTGGTAGAACATGCAAGCGATTGCAGATACTACCACAGCCGGTATCAGCGATACGAAAAGAATTACTACCTACCTACAACCTGCGCCTACAACCGCTGCAATCGGCTGTCCCGCTCTTCGTCAAATGGAACGGGCACAGGCGGCACAGGGTTGCCAGGTCCACTGTGGCGACTGTGGCCAAGCCGAAAAATTGCCAAAGCGGCCAAAAAAGAAATAGCCACTGTAGAACATGGTTAAAATCGCGCACAAAGAGACGAGGACAAACGAGGAAGGAACACAGAACACAGACAGGCGCGCACTCACAACTCTAGTATATTAAGTGAAGAAGAGAAAGATGAAGCACTATTTTTTACAGGGGACAACGTCACCAGGGGGAAACAGATCATCCGCAGTCAAATGATCGCAAGAAGGCAACTTCTTTTTCGCTCAAAGATGTATGTGCAGACCATTTTTAGAAAAAAACATCAATCATTGGCCGCTTTAAAGAAAAACAAACGCGCGAGGTGCTCGAGGCGTTCACCATCTTGAGCCTGACCGATCGCTGCGTTAGCCAGCCGTCGGTAGCTTTGAGCGAAAAAGAAGTTGCCTTCTTGCGATCATTTGACTGCGGATGATCTGTTTCCCCCTGGTGACGTTGTCCCCTGTAAAAAATAGTGCTTCATCTTTCTCTTCTTCACTTAATATACTAGAGTTGTGAGTGCGCGCCTGTCTGTGTTCTGTGTTCCTTCCTCGTTTGTCCTCGTCTCTTTGTGCGCGATTTTAACCATGTTCAACGTTTCCCAACTCGCCCAACTTACTACTCTTCTATAGCCACTGTAGCCAAGGTTTTTTAGGGGCGAAGCTCCTTGTCCGGCCAGCGTCCGTGCTCACATTGATCTCGCTGGTGCTCGTGCTCGTGAGCTCACGTGCTCGTTTAAAGCAAAAAAAAAAAAAAAAAAAAAAAAGGAAAAAAAAAATGTTTACGTAGTCGACACAGTGAGTCGACAGGATTTGAACCTGTGCGGCCATGACTTTTTTTTTTTTTTTTTCTTTATTGACTCGGCTATGACCAGCTATGACTGCGGGACGAGTAGGGGGCTCTAAGATGCGGTAGTAAGGGTAGTAACTAAGACCCTTAGTCGTGCAGGTACGTTTATACTCCGACGTCGACGAACCTAACGTCCAACGACGTAAACGAAGTTCAACGTCCACTTCGCCACGCCACGCTGTGCTGCGAAAAGAATTGACAGCGTCGTTCAATGCGCAACAACGAATTGCTTCACATTGCGCATGCGCGTCACCATGGCGACCGGATGGTTTGGTCTCGCTGGTTCCGGATTGCCGCTTCCGTTCTCAACTTGCAGCGCTGTCCGGCTGCCCTGCGGCGGTGATGATCTAAGCAGTTAAATGTGTCAAAAGCTGGGACTCGCGGCAGTTGATATCTTCGCGCTGTGGTACTCTCGAAAACAAGGAAATAACGAAGGTAACTCGCATAGAAAGGCATTTATTTCCTGACGAAAGTCATACGTGGTTAGCGAAAAAAAAAAAAAAAAAAAAACTATCAGCCGGGTGTTGTTTTGACCAACTTCAACGAAAAAGCAGCAGATGGTGGTTCGCAGCGACCATGCAGCTTCTAACATATGTCCTTTGCACAAACCTCATGAACTAGCCTTTAGCGTCAAAAACTCACGGATATGACACCGAAATGGGAAGCCGATGTCCGTCGAAGAGCTTCAAGCGCGTCCCGGTGTCGTTAGGCCTACACATTTTCACGGCTCCGAGACAGGTCCACGTCGACGCGCCGGCTCACTCCATCGAGCGAACGGAATAAACAGAGCGCCAACACAAGCACATCCAACTGACCAGCGGCTACCCTACACGACACAAGCCCGAAAGGCAAGCAGACGAACAGACAACACAGCCCGACCGATGCCCGACTGGGCACCGACGGGACCATGGCAAACGCGGGAAGGGAGCTGGCGTGAAGGCTTCTGGGTAACGATCGTCGCCAGGCGACGCCGAGATTCGAGCAGGGCCTACCTCGGCGAAAGCTTCGCCGACGGTCGCCGAGGCTCGCTACGCTGCGTTACGTTCGACTGTCGTCGGAGTATACACCTTTCCAAAAACCGCTCCTAGGCCGCCGCCATGTTGCTGATGCTGATGCGCTTGGTGCGACTCTCGCGCCCTCTATCAGCTAGAAATTTTCTGCCACTCTCTGGGACTGTGGAGACCCGCTCAGCGCGGTTCTCTACCTACGTTTTTGCGGTTTTGCATTCGACGTTTTCTCGCCCCTCTTGATAGTTTCCACTTAATTTTTTTTATACGTGCTACGTACCCTTTCTGTGTTATCTTCTATTGTGAGAAATAAGGCTGGTAAGTGCCTGCCATTCAAGTTTTTCTGCTTTACATTCACGGGAAACGAAGGAAGTGAAGGACGTCGAACGACCCTCGACGCGATTTTGCGAACATTGTTCTCCCCCCTCCCAGAGATAATCCGCGTAGAATCCTCAGTCATCTCCAAAAATAGTTTTCCGGGTCGGGGTGAGAAACGGGTCAGTCGCGTTTGTTTCTTTGCCTTGGTGCGGTTGTGAAAAAAGGAAGCTCTCCCGAAAACGTGCCCCAAAACGAAGTCATCCCGGATTCCGTCCGATCGTCAAGATGTGACTGTCGTCGACTGTGACTGTGTTATTTGAGATCTTTCTCAAATAAATTTGTTTCGGATAACGCTGCATCGTGTGGTACGTACGAATGTTAACACTTCCTCAATTGTATGTCCGTGTCCTGACCATCGGTAAACACGTTATTTGTGAGCGTGAAAAATGCATGCCTTTCGGCCCTCTTCTGTTGCAATTTATTTTTGACAGCAAAGCCCTTTGTCGTTTCACGTGCGGCAAATCCTGCGGTGCCGTCAAAACTTATCGCAAGAAAATAACAAATAACTAGAACTATTCATTCCAGTCGCATTCGTTCTGTCGCGCGTGTACCCAACAAAAATAGTTTAGATTTTTTTTTTACTTTTTTTTTTTTTTAAATGTGGCACAATGCTTTCTCAATGTCTTCGGGAACATACATGTACCATGAAACACAAAATATAGCGGGAAAAGACGAGAATTTAGCCGCCAGCAGCGTTTGAAACTGCACCTACGCAGGCTGCGCCTATTGAAATCACAGTCCACTCGGTTAGGGTTAGGAGGGACGCCGGTGAGAGTCTAGCCTCAAACTCAGTGACTGGGCTCACAAACGGTTTGTTGCCCCTGGGGTCGAGTGTTTTTTGGAAAGGTGTATAGACGCTCCTTTCGCACCAACGTAACGCAACGAGGTCGGGCGCGCGCGCCCGTCGGCGTTACGTTGGAGTATAAACGCACCTTTAGTGGTAACCAACGTTATGTTATTAGGGTTATTAGAACTAGAGCACTATATAGCTCCTTCGGAGCAGAATAGCGCAGGAATAGCGCAATCTAGAACGCCGTCTCTCGGCGACTAGCGGCGAACGCCCGGAGGTTACAACTGCGGTCAGAAATGCATGGAGAACGTGAGAAAATCGTTGTTTCTTCAGTATTATGGGGATGTATGGAATGGCAATCGTTTTTTACATAATAATGGAACATTTTAGAATAATTTGTGCTAAGTTTTGTGCCCCGCAAGGACGCTTTTTTTTTTTTTTTTTTTTAAATTGCCTGAGCGACATTATGCAGCAGACGACACGGCAACGTCACACCATTCATGTGACCCACTCCGGCCAATCCGAAAAGCCCATCTCCGCTGCAAGCAAAAATCGTCTGCTTCAAACGCCATTGCCTTGGAAATTGCACCATTTTTTTAGACCACCTGAGACTGGGTGGAAGAAACACGACGACGTCTCAAACACAGCTAACCACTTTATTCAGTTTTCCCTCCTTTTATACATCCTAATCCCAAAATCGTCACCATAAAAAACACTCCAAACAAAGGCACCAAGGGGACACGTCTTGACTTCGCAGCCACAACAATGTAAAAAAAAAAAAAAAAAAAAAAAAACTAACGAATTATTTTGAACTAACAAAAGCTACACACACATCAAAACGTCGGCCGAAGGTAACATTCTTTGACCTCGCAGCCATTCAACATTCTTTGACCTCGCAGCCACTTTTTTTTTTTTTTTTTTTTACATTGTTGTGGCTGCGAAGTCAAGACGTGTCCCCTTGGTGCCTTTGTTTGGAGTGTTTTTTATGGTGACGATTTTGGGATCAGGATGTATAAAAGGAGGGAAAACTGAACAAAGTGGTTAGCTGTGTTTGAGACGTCGTCGTGTTTCTTCCACCCAGTCTCAGGTGGTCTAAAAAAATGGTAAACTTACACCAGCTCGCCTGCGCCCTAACTGTTTTTTTGGAAATTGCCTTCTCAAAATTTGAACACGCATCCGATATTATTAAAACTTTGATAAAGTGTTTAGTGCTTTACTAACTTCACGACAGACTAGTTTTGAAAAGTGTGCACTCGCCGTTAATTTTTTAATCAGCCGTGTTGTGTCGATCTCCATGTGTTCTCCCATAGGGCGGGCCGCCTCCTGGAACCCTGAGTACCACGTGACTCGCGCCGAGCCGCTCTGTCGGCCATGTTGTAGGCAAAACACGGGGTTCAAAGGATTGAGCTAGAACCAACTCAGTTCTGGAACTCCTCTCCGGAAGAGGGGGAGGGGGTACCTTTGCGTGGCGCCTGTTAGAGGGCGCGCGCTCCGCATTAATACTCGCTATCATCATCATTGACGGCGCGCTTGTGGCCGTTGCATCTGGCCTACTGAGCTTACAGATGTTCGTGGCGCTTTTTCTGACAGTAGCAGACGACTTTCAAACTGTTTCTGCTGCAGTTGGTAGTCATCGGCACATCTACCATTACAGTATGTACAAATTTGCCCTGATTGTAACCACCGGAAAAATGTGGCTTAGACGAATTTGGGTTGTTCGAAACGCTTCCCGCTGTCAGCACAGCTAAGGCAAAAGACATGCAGCGCAGCTTGAATTCACGAACTTCGGATGATACTTTCCCTGGCAGCCTGCTCCAACGTACAGCTTCTCCAAGGCCAGCAGACTTCTTGGGTCGAGTGGATTGAGTTTAGCAGGGTCCTCAATAGAAGACGGCTTCATGAAATTCTGGCATAGGCACCTCAGTAGTCTTTGGCTTTCCTCTTGAATGACTGCGATTAGGCTGTCCTTGCTCCGAAACATTGCGTTAAGTTTGTTGAAGAAGCCAAGCACATATTGCATGAACTTGAGATACGCCTCCGTGATGGTGTTCATGTCCTTCAAGATCAGCTCAGCG